TTCATTTAAAAACTTACAGAATCACTAGATTTATTTATTTGTTAATAAGTATGTTTATATCGTGTAAAATTTATCGAGGGATTTTTATTAATACTTATTGAGTGTTTTCTTCAGTCGTATAACAGGTCGCCTACTCCGGGTCGCAAGTGACAGCAAGTATCCTCAGTACACCAGCATTCTTGTGCATTTGCAACAATGCTATTGCCGTGGTTCCAACTGGTCATCAGCTCTTCACGTTTTCAACCAGACTCTTAGTTTTATGGACTGTTAGCAGATCTCCGATAACAACTGGCACGCCTGTCGCATTTATATTCTACAACTTCCTCTGTTCTTTGGCAAAGTCGAGATGCTTCCTGTAGTGCACAGTTTCTTTTTGATTACTTGTGAAGGTGGATAGAAAAGTTCATCCATACATTCATGAAGATTAGCCGGTTCTTGAACAAATTTTCTTTTTTTAATTATTCATGTTTCGCCAATAAAACGAACCGTATAAGATTTTAAACAGAAAACAATCTGTCGTTTTTTTTTAACTGACTATAAAAAAATCAGATATTACTTTAACTCATGTTGCAGCATGCTAATTTATGGAGCAGGTTTTTAAATAAGTTTTTAGCTGTGTAATTGAAATCTAAATAAAGAATTTGGGGAAGCTTTTATCTCTTTGAAAATCGACGACAAAAGTATTAGCAGATATTTAACTGAGTCTGACACAAGATCAAAAGTAGTACTTTTTTTTTTACGATCATATGCGAGAATGCGCCTGTTCTGAGTCTTCTGTATATCATGTCTTTTTTATGACGTGGGTGTTTCTAACTCCTCTTTACTCTTTAGTTTTTCTCTATATGGTCTTTGTTCTGTCATCTATTTATCCAAACTCCTTCGTTGTTTTTTCCTTGTTTCTCTTGCCTTCAATATGTCAAAAGCCAGGATTATAATAGATTTTTGTGTGTAGTTTACTTTAGTTAATCATAAGGAAAAAAAAGTAAGGTTTAATGCCACATTCCGTTAAGTCAGTTTTCTGAGTTTAGATTCTCTTTAGTGTGTGTATCGGAGAATTTGACCCTCAAAAGATATACTGAAAGTAGAGGGAAGGGGAGAGAGAGAGAGAGAGAGAATAACCTACCTAACGAGTTTGTCTAAATGGATGGCAGAACAGGGACTGGGATGTATAGTAAGGGTACAAACTTTGTTTAGAGCTACAGAAGATAGGAAGTTGTGGAGAGCCATCGTCGTCAGTGCGTTTTTTTTTTTTTTTTTGCAAAATTAAGCTCGTTGCCAGTGCATTTTGTGCGTGTGGATGTAGAGGACTGTAAGTCCGGGACGACGAGAAGAAAATATTTAATGATAATGTGAATTGAATTCTAACCCGCAGTTTTAGTTTGGGGGTATCAATGACGTGTTCCCAGCTTGGAAAATGCCATAAATAAAAAAAGTAACAAGTTCTCCTTTTTTAAAGTGATTTTCAATAAAAGATTTTTTTTCTTACCAAATATGTACGATTGGAAAGTCAAATAGTTTCAACAGCTGGAAATGTGTTCGATGACGGATTTATGTTGTAGGAGCAATACACACACTAACTAAAATTATTCAAAGTCATTTTCACGACATGGGGCCGAAGCGGGGTGGGGTGGCAGCTCCAACACACTCACCATGCCAATAGCCAAGTGACCGATCACTGCAAGTCATAAAAAAGTAAGGTTTGGGCACTTCGGCGTGGTGTAATGGTTTTAGCAAGTTTGTCTCGCCCATGACCATTACAACTGAGTAGTGAGTTCGACCCATACTTTCGGCCTTGTGCCACATCTAAGCTGTGCTTACAAAATGATCATAAAAAGATAAGGTTTTTACTTTATTCAAGTACTAGAAGTAATGCATTTTGGCTCAGAATGAGAAATTGGAGAGCGGGGTTCGAATTCCGGTCGAGTTTATTGCATTCACACGCGCAGATACCACTGGGAAAGGTATGATGAATCCATCTCTTCTCTCCTCCCCAGATTGAATAGGTTGAATAACAGGATAGACTGGGCCTTTTTTTTGGCAACCAGTCGACGCAGAAAGAAACGGCGGTCTATTGTGGGAAAATCTACTGCCTAGTCAGTCATGCATCGAAAGAGACGTGATCGACCAAGCGATTGACTGACTGATTAGCTAGAAGTAAATAGCTGCTAGATCCATTATCAATCATGACAGGAACCAGGAGATAGCCGCTTGTAAATCTTAAAGAAACAGGGAGATCTGGGATAGCGTCTTAATTTGAGTAATTTCTCTTTCGTCGACTAAAGAATATCTGCATTCGTACCTCTCTGAACATATGGGTCATACTCATCTCTTATTACTTTTACAAGAGTTGTGGCCTACGAACGAAACTCTTATTAACTGGAGAGAAAAGCTGATTTACAGATGGAGAAGGAACCAGTTTAGTCAGGGCCGCTGTAAGGATCCCCCCCCACCGAATATGATACGGCGCCCACGAATCTATGATATGGGAGTCCTCCATTCTACTCGATCTCAATTTTCATCAGGTAGTTTTCATATAAATTAAAAATTTTATTTTAATCTAATTATGAATAAAGACAAAAAATGGAAAACTTTTTTTTATCTTAGTCGACGCGTTTCGTCCGCTTTCGACTTTATCAAGGCAAATGACTGTAGTGTACAATAATGGATTATGCAATATAGGGGAACAATTCAAGAAGAAAAATTGAAAATAAATTTAGATTTAGCATGGACAATAAAAAAGAACCCAGAATGACGCTAAAATCCGCGAAAATTTTTCATCCTTTAATTAATAGTCAGTTGTGCTTTTAAACATATATATAGGTAGAAAAAAAGTAAATCTTGATAAAATAGCAAGGGTCACAAAGCATTGCCTGGGGCCACCAATCAGGCTTGCCTCCCACCTTGGTCGGGGGGTTCGGAAGTATTACGTACCGATTCTGAGTCTAAGAGATTTTAAATCTAATAACGAATAAAGTTCTGATTTTTAATGGCTATCGACTTTCTTAGTGAGATTTCACAAAAAATGTGGGGATGAGTTTTTTTTTTTTTTTTTTTTTTTTTAATCGGACCCTACGTAAAAAAAATAAATAAATGAAATATATTTATTTTTTAAACTGAAGTATATTAGAATTTTTAATTTGTTCGGACATTCCAAACGAAACGAAGTAAAGACATGGTTGCAAACGACATTCTATACACGTTCTATGTTCATGTCTACAACTTGATACGTGCATACCGTGCGGAAAGAAGAGATTGACAGATGGAAAAAGGAAAGCTGGGAAGAAAGCAACTGTAGACAACGAGTCAAGCGGTAGAATGGGAGTAGGAAGCCGTTTGGCTGGGACTTTCTCCTCCCATTCCTCGCGAGTTTGCCGCCAATTTTCCATATATGGACATATCACTCAACGTGGTTGTCGTTAAAGAGAACTGGATATGCGGGAATTCTTTCTTTCTGTCGTCTTCACATTTTTTGTTTGTTCGGCTGGCATCGTCTGCTACTTGCTTTTCTTCTCGTATTTGTTTAGTTATTTATTTTCTACCCCAGATCGAACAGTTTTTTTTTTCTCTCTCCACTTTATATTCTTCATATTTTTTTAAAAATTCATTTTGAATTATTTTATGACGTATTTTGTCATTGATTTTTTTTCAGTCAAGGCTTAACAACCAAAAAAAAGTTTTTATTTTTTTTTTTTTTTTTGCTCACCAATGACGAATAAACTAAGCAACTAAAATTTATGGTAGTTTTTTACTTTCGTCTTTTTTTTAATGAAAGAAAAATGTAACTTTTTATCATTCTCATTTTTTTTTCATGACTATCTTTCTATAATCATCAATTTATTTTATAAATATTTCAAACACGCTAAAAACCAACAAATTTCTGTACGTTTTGAATTTAGTTAGAGATCTATTTATTACTTATTTTGAAAGAAAATCTCGTGGCAGTTCAGCCAAATTATTCTCTTATTTCTTGTTTCGATCACTACTTTATAAAGTTTTTTGCTCATCAAACGACGACGACTTCCTGTTCGTATTCTTTCTATCTGCCTTTCTATCTATCTATCTATCTATCTATCTATCTATCTATCTATCTATCTATCTATCTGCCTTTCTTTCTTTCTTTCTTTCTTTCTTTCTTAGAGATAAGAAAGGGGTTACTGAGTGTGAAAGAATAAGAAAAAAGATTATTAATAATTAGTGAAACTTTTGAGTTGAAATATTTTTCTACAAATATTTCTTATTAGTATCTTTATCTTTGTTGTTTCGATCGCGAGATTATTCTCAGTTTCAGTGCATTCGTTAGCCTTTCAAAAGCGAATGACGTATTTAGTGATCATCAAGGAGCTTTACACAGTTCCCTAATGACGAATCTCTTGGTTAATTTATATTTTGTCAGATGAACATTTAATTCACAAGTTCTTTCAACAGAAATTAACGACTCATTTATTCGCTCACATGAATGTGAGTTCGTCATACAATGCGCAATTCTTTCACCCAAATTTATTTCATTGGCAATAAAAGTTAACATGGAATATGTTGTTAGAGTTCAATAAAGTGAGCTCAATATACCCCTATCACTTTCTTTCACCTATCAAAACTAAAAATGGCTATAGCAGCCATTTTGTTGGTACTGCATGAGAAGAAAAGCAGTTGCGGTAGAGTTAATTATTCAGTGACTTACCCACATTTTTCGTGTTTATTTTATTTATTTATTTCACGATCAAGTAGTCTCATCGACAAGGAAGAGGCCTGGGGAGTTTGCCCCCTCAAAAAAAAAAAAAAAAAAGTAATCTTTAGATTGGTGCGTTTTCTACGGCTTATCAACCGCTTGCAGGATATTTAAAGCCAGAAAATATTTTTAGATCGTAAGAATTTTTTTTTAGATAATCATGATTTAGCGATACAAATCTTTCTAATTAACCTATAGATGGGGGAGAAGGATGTTTGCGCGTAAGTGAATATAACGAACCCAACTGAAATTGGAACTCGGCTCTCTCTCTAAGCTTACAACACCTGATATTCCTACGCGGTTAACCATCTAGATACTGACCAGGCTCGACGTTGCTTAACTTCGGTGATCGTACGGGAACCGGCGTTCCAACGCTATATGATCGTAAGCCAGAAAGTACGAGGGTTAGTTAAAAATTATCCGCACTTTCACCATAACATATCTTTAGGTTTTTCACACTGACTTCTGCTCATGTGTGCTTATAGTTGGTACTATTGTGGTCACGTGATAGAAGTTTGAGCTTGAGCGCGCCAGTTTTCTTGCTGCTGTTACAGTGTAAACATGACCGCTCCACTTGCTGTGTACACCAAGAACAGCTCGGAGTATAGACTTTAGAAGGAACCGGAAACCCAATCCTAAACAGGAAACAAGCGATAAATCTCTACTCCTGTTCAAAAGACTGGGGAGGAATATGAGCCGGACAATAGACAAACCTATGTATGTATGTATGTATGTATGTACCTGTGTGTGTGTGTGTGTGTGTGTGTGTGTAAGTTCGATCATCACGATTCCCATGAGTCAGACGAAGCCAAACTTCGTAAATACACATACTTATTTCCCAACCGTACAGCTGTAGTGAGAAACATAGATGCGTGTATTGAATTCCACCTTCACTGGGTGCCCTTTATTGTGGCCTTGTATCGACCTAACCCTAGTAAATATCTACCCAAAGTGACTTGATTAAAGCAAGCTACCTCGCTCAGATTCTAAAAGTGAGTATGGACATCGTTTGGTTATCTATCTATCTATCTATCTATCTATCTATCTATCTATCTATCTATCTATCTATCTCACCTGTTCATCTATCTATCTATCTATCTATCTATCTATCTATCTATCTATCTATCTATCTATCTCGTCTGTTCATTTCTAGCTATCACTGAGATGTTTAGTTTGAATATTTTCTCGTGTAATATTAACCGATAGCATTTAGACTATAAGCTATTAACATTCTTGCCAGACGGCGGCCTCAATTCTTTTCTGTTGTTTTTATACATTTTGTATTAGGATGTAATGGGATGTGTGGGTAGTGTGCGGACAGTGGAACCAGCGAGCCGAGTTCAGATTCCAGGTTAGTCCGTTGTCATCACTTTTGCACAAATGCTTTTGAGAAAGGCATGAATCAGACTCTTCTCCTCCAGCTATGTTGAGGCTCTCTAACCTTGGGAGGCAGCCAATCAAAGTAAAGAAAAATTCTCAATTCAAAAACACGGAGAAGGAAACTGATATCCACTCAGTTATCTTTCCCGTTAAGTCGTGGATGTGCGGGTGGTATAATCGGTAACAGCTTGGAAGTTCGAATACTTGTCGGGTTCGTTACATTTACTTACGCGCCAAAAATTAATCCACCTACTCACCCAGCTGTGGCTTAAATAGTAGGACTTGTATCTGGGGAAATCATTGTTATTCTCAAAAATATTGTTTATGCAATATTCACTCACAAAAAAAAAAAAAAAAAAAAAAAATAAGAATTATACTTAAAATCCCAAAAAATGTTTCCACTTTAAATAACGAAGAAAGGGTTGGTAAGCCGTAAAAGATCAATCAATCAACCGGAAGTCATAGTAATTTGTAGATATGAAAGAAAAGGAAGCTGTGGATAACCTTGATCGCCTACATCCTAAAGGGACATGGTATTTAAAAATAAATAGGGTGGAAACAATGACACCAGTTCGAAGCTGTAACAAATGGGTTAAAACAGCGTTAAGTTAAACACATTTTGTTATATCTGAATCTGACAATTAAAAAACATTGTTAATGTTTGTGTTTTCCTTGCAGATATTAATTCTGTTTATTATGCTATAATTTCTTTGCTTATATTCCATATATCTTGCAACATTTTGTAGGGCCATTGCTTCTGATGAGGTAGATGTCAGTATATGTACTGACATGTACTTCAGTCTAGCAGCAGTTACAGCAATGTGTTCAAGGCAAGATCATTCCTCTTCAGGTTGGTTTGAAATCAGATTTTAATCCTCATAGGTTGGTGTCACATTACAAAAAATCAATTTCCCTTCAGCGGGAAGGCGATCTCGGTTCTACACAATTTATCATTCTTTTAATCGGGTTTTATCATGACTGTTCTTAGGAAAGGTATTGGAGTAGTTTCCTCTTGCCTTATGAAGTACATGACTCCTCTTGCTATCCTCACCTTTTACAAGAGCCAGATCAGGCCAAAAATGATGTATTGCTGCCATATATGGACAGAAGCTGGCTCGGAAATGAACTAAAGTTCAAATCCAGTTTCTCACCGTCCTAGGTCGAATCTTTCTTCTTGCGCTTAAAAGCGGGGGAGGTCAGAGTCATCCCTGAAACTTGAGGCAAACTAAAAAGGGAACTGGATAATCTGAACACTACCCGCAAGTAGTCAATTTTATTGTGCGCTAGACTCACTTCACACACAAATACAGTTGAAATTCTTAGGGTACATAAAAGAAAGAGAGCTTGGAAAATTTGATACTCATAAGACAGATTGAAGGCAAAAGGGACAGACAGATGAAAGCAACGCTACCGAACAATCTTGAGTAAATGAATAGCGAAAAAGGGTTTAGGAGAGATAATAAGAAGATAAAATTTATTAAGAGCTACAAAGGACAGGAACTTGTAGAGAGTCGTGATCGTCAACGTCCTGAAGGGACACAGCACATAGAAGAAGAATGAGTTTGCTAACTACTGCCCTTCACTGAGTATTTTCATGTAAAGATATAGATAGTCACAAGTTCTATCCGGTATGAGTATTTCTCCTTGCGCCCACGTCGCAACAGGGTGTGACACAAGGTCGGAGTTTAATGTGGGATTTCGGTTTTATCTGGTATGAAGGTATTGTATGAAGAATCCATTGAGGATTGAACTCACTAGCAATGGTTTGCGAGAATATATACATAATTATAACAATTTTTTCATGACCCTTTTATGGCATCCGACGCGGAAATGAACTACAGTTCAAACCCAGTGGGCCATTGTCCTTGGCTGTATCTTTCTAATTTCACTTAAAGTGAGAACGTCAGAGTCAACTCGCGATATCTGAGGCGTCCCCAAAAAGAAGTACCAAAGGAACTGGACAATTTATTTCAACACCCGTACATAGTCAATTTACCATCATTGAGCAGTAGAAACCTTCACACCAAAAATATAGGGTGTGTGAGGTCATTGTGAACAAATTATAAAGAGAAAAAAAAATCTAGTCAATAGAATAATCGGTATATTTTTAAATAATATAAACATGTTAAAATTAGAGTAAAATGAAAAGGTTATTTAAAACCCTCGAGAGTGCCTTCAATGTGGCCTAGAAAGCGACACTATGTTCAACTTAGGTGATCCCTGTTTAAGTTGTTCATTATGTCTAATATAGCAGCCTACAGAGAGAGTCCTTGATATGGATGTGCTGCTGTTGTAGACGTCCAAGGGATTCAATTTAAGAAAGCTAAGAAGCCGCTTGTTGAGTTTGACATAATCGTGAAAATTATCGGATAGCCATTCCTGAGTCACGGGGTTCATGTATGGGGGAGCTAAGTTTGGCCGAAACACGTACGTACGTCACCCCTTGAATCACTCGATCCAAAGATTGATCACCTTGTACTTTTTGTCTTTTTAGGCGGTAGTATTGACCTCAAGACTTTTCGGGACCCCAAGGACTACACAGACGACGTGGACTTGATGTGTATCAACGTTGGTACCTGTTGGGTTTGTGTAGAACCAGTCGTCTTTACTCTTGTACCAAATAAAAACAAAAACAAAACAAAAACAAAACCGAGTAGGCCCCTCATGCCAGGATGTTTGATCTCGTTCAACAAGTTTTTCATTCAGATCACATGATTCTTCCAGGTTTTGGTAGATATGAACAACCACCATCTTGTTAAACTCGTGCATCACACGTCTGATAGTAAACTCCGTCACCTTGAGCTATTCGGCGATTACTCTTATCGACTTGTTTGAATCGTAGCTGAAGATAACCTAGACCTGTGGGAAGAACTCTTTCAAGAAGCTGCTTATCTCTGAGTCCCTGCAGTTGGCAGGTAATGCCCCGAGCACACTATGCTTTTTAATTTTCTTTTGTCAGATCGGAAACTGTCATGTTAATGCTCTTAATATATAACAGTCCGCTTGCTTTGGTTTAATGTTTAGTTGCATGAGAATGCAAAATGGTGATTTGAGGTGATTAAGAATTACAAATAAATCATGAAAACTCCCGAGGGATATTTTAAATAATTAGGAGAAAACTGGGAAAAGAAACGGAGAATTAGAGTTAAATTAAACAAATAAAATAAACTTGATGAGGGAACCAGTGAATTGAACCCCGAACGAATTTTGTGAAAAATCATTTACTTTGGAATTTCGTATAGGTGGTCCGATAAAGGAAAATATTTACTTGGATTTCCGAGCTGAAATCTGATCCGAGAAGAATAAATTCTTAATACTACGATGCTATACTCATAAAGTGATTCTCATTAAATGTTAGAGAAATTTTTTTTTTTTTTTTTTTTTGGCTGATGCATCAAATTTGAAATCACTAATTTGCTATACAGTGTGTAGAAGATGCACATTCGTGTAATATTCCCCGCCAATAAATCATTAAGTTTTCCGAAGTGGTTGCTTGTTTTGAAGGGATCCACCTTAGCTTCGACGTTCAAGTGCCGGCTTGAAACAAATTATCACGCCCCCAGAAGAAGTTAATAACTCCTCCGTGTGGAACACAATGACCACTAGACGATCACCGTCGGAAAACGGATTCACTTCAGGAAGTGTGAGATGGACAGGAACAGCCGGTAAAGATGCGTAAGCATATTTGCCCCTCCCCTGCCCGGTTCACACCTGGTAACCCGAGAGTATTTGGTCGGGTGTCTGTTTACGTTCGGTTTTGGTGGCCGGGACCGACATGGTCACAGAGGCTTCAGGTTCGTTTATAAATACATATGAAATAGAAATAAAAATGGTAATAATTGCTGCATGCCATGTAATATTACTTTAGGCAGTTTCTCGTTTATGGCCCGGAAAATATGTTCTCAAATATCTGGTATAATTAAACTGAAAAGAAGAGATTAAAAAATTCCGATTTTGCGTCATCTTGTCAGGTGCAGGGATGGAGCGTTTGTAAAATAAAAGTGAACATTGAAGACAACACTCTTGGGCGAGAGTGTTTTTCATGATTATACGCAATCGCCAGACCATATGTGTTGTGTTTTGCTCAACTATTTATATAGGTCAGTGGTGCGTTGTGGGTAGTCTATTGTATTGGTCTAACTGTTGTTATTGGGTGGAAATAATTGTGGATCCGGATGCATTTTTGTTGGTTACTTATAGTGTTGTCTGTTAAGCATATATATATATATATATATATATATATATATATATATATATAAATTAATTGATTTAAAATATGTTTTTTCGCTACACAGTTCCAACCATGTTTCAAAAATTTTTTGAAACATGGTTGGAACTGTGTAGCGAAAAAAAAACATATTTTAAATCAATTAATTTATAATATTAATGCTCTGTAAATTTACATTGAGCACTATTTTGTAAAAATAAAAATATCTATAAGAACACCGGATTTTATATCTTACTGTTCTTTTTTATATATATATATATATATATATATATTGAATGCGCAGGACGATAGACGTAATAAACACCATTTAATAAATACATATGAGGCGTCTATTTAAATATTCACTATAATAACGTTTGAATTGTGTTGCTGGAACCAGTTAGTTTTTCTTGACCCCTCCCCCCCCAAAAAAAAAAACAGGACGCTTTTCCATCGTCCACAAAGGTATAGTTAAAGATTGGAGAGACGATAGAACGCAGCGCATCTGTGCATCTAAAACAGTTGTCGCTGATCTATGAGTGCATTTCTTTTGAAGTTCAAAAACAGTTTCGTTTTGGTTAATAAAAACATTGGACAGATTTATCCTTACAGACTTGTGTGCATAAATACTTTAACTATTTCACAATTTAACCTACGGGCAAAAGATTTTCAGGGACATTTCCCGGGACTATTTTCCGTTAGGAACAACTCAAGATGCGAACTACGAATTTGAGACGGCAAAATCAAGTCTTCCATGTGTCGCGTCCCCTCATGACATTAGCGATCGTGGCTCTCCACAATTTCCTGTTCTTTGTAGCTCTTAATAAATTCTGTCGTTTTGTTATCTTCCCTACACTCTGTTCTGCCATTCATTTACTCAAGCTCACTATGTAGGCTATGTGTTGTTTTCCTCTGTCCCTCTTGCCTGCAGTCAGTCCTGTAAGTATCAAAGTTTCCAAGCCCTCTTTCTTCATTATGTACCCTAAAAATTCAATTGTCTCTTTTAAGTATAAATGTCTTTTTGTTTTTAGCTTTCTCTAAAACCTCGTCATGGCACACATATTCATTCCATGGTATTCTCAGCATCCTTCTGTAGAATCACATTCTTCATCTGTCAGAAGATTATCCAATATTCACTACCATATAGGAGGATTAATGTTAGATTACAGTTCGACACTTTTCTTTGTTTCTAACGAAGTTTTCTTGGTTCTTAATACGTTGCTTTGCTTTTGGAAGGCATCTGACGCTGTTCCAGTGCGTCTTCAGATTTCAATGTCGCACTTTCCGTCTTCTGTTAAAACACTTGTTCAAAGGGGGAGTACACCTTTCCGGGAGCAGTAATATACCTATAAGGCTATCGTCTGTTTTAAACAAACGATAACAAGATGGAGGGTCGCAAAGTATGACATTCGATTGAATGGGTAAAAGGTTTGGTTGTATAAAACCGATACCTACCTCCGCTAACTCTAATTTTGAATAAGGAGGATCGTTTTCGTTCTCACAACTGGACATTTGCAATGAAATGTCAGAACTGTGAGATTACCGCTTCTAACTTAGAATCGCAGACGACATGAATTTTGAAAACCTCATTCTTTTTCCCTTTCCATCATGGGTGAGACAACACGTGCCTTTTTTTTCTCTCTTGTGACTCACGAGGCTCATAAATACTTCAAAGACATCAAATGAAGATTGTGTGAGAACATCCGACAACTTCAAATGATGAAGTTTCTTTTCTTTTCAATTCTTTTTATTGAACACGAAAATTTCTCACGAATCTGTAAAATATTGTTTGTGAGACAGATAATACCAGATATCGTAAAAATCATTATTCATCCCCGTCTCGCAATAGATTTTTCACTCTTGTTGATATTTTTATCTAGAAAAAAAAGTGTGTTTCTTTTTTTGCTAACGAGACTCACAAGCTAAGCAAATGGGTTGTAATCGTAGACTCATCGGTTGTGAGTTATATGCTTAATCTTCGTCCCTGCAAAACTATTATCAATTTGAAGTAATTTTGGAAAGATAACGACCTGGAAAACATCCTAGGTATACTTCCAGATCCGGCATGTAAATCATTAAGTATTTAACCCTAATTTCAGACGCTGGTAAAATGTTCCTCTCTTGTGTAACAATTTGTTTTTCATACTTAAAATAAACCAGCTCACATCAGTACAAGAGCTGTTCAAATTGTCCGTAGTAGAAATTTAAAGGCATAATTTTAATATATTACATGTTCTGAGCTCACAACTAACTGAATAATTTTGTTATTACAATAGCATTTCTATCTTTTTCTATATACGTTACAGTTAGTGGTTACACGCGTCTGAATGAACGTGTCCGTATTTTAACACGTCAACTGCCAGGGGTCAATTGCGAAATGTTTTCAATGCTTCGTTTATCTGTTAGATTTTCAATAAATTTTTCCCATAAAAAAGTTTGTTTTTAGTTGTCAGTACGATTTTTCATGCCTGCTTCAGATGTCTCCGGTTATCAGTTATTAGTGTTTAATAATAACGAAAAATCGCATGATTGGCTTCATAATAAAAACAAAAAAACTGTCAATGTGTTAAGCAGTATAATTTTGTCTACCGGATTGGGTTAACGAGTGTCTACATACAGTTTAAAAAGCAGAGATGTCTACGCCAAATATAACTTACCATTTATACTCGAGTATAGTGCAAGTAAATATGATCGGTTTTTGCACACTATACGCAGGTCATTTTTTTTCTAGAGGGTTTAAAATTAATGCCAAACAATTCAGGGGTCGCGCTTTACATGAAATAGGCCTATACATGAGTATATACGGTTTACTAATAAGAAATAATGTTGAACTGTGAATGAAACATTCAGTAAATCCTTAAAATAGCACTTCTGAAATATCTATTAAGCAATAAAAGATGAAAGGCATCAATTACAATATAGATTACCGTACAGATCAATACACAGATTCCCTAATAAAGCATATATCAACAGTACTCAAACGTACTGTATATGTTCTTTGCGTGTTAATACACCTGTAGTCTTGCATTCACGCAATAGTACAAATGACGAAAACAATCTTTAAATACATTAGTTAACGCTTCTTGTACCGGTTGAAGCAATATAGTAAGATTTGTGGATTGGGTTAATTGTTCCATCATGTCTGTTACAGGTTAAATGTGCGACAGGTCTGGCAATCATGCTAATTATAGAAGCTAAAAACATATTGTAGATTATGCTGAGTAACATGGACACCATGTAGGCGGACATTAACCCACTGGAATCACAATATACATGGCTTACGGTCATATCACGATGAAACACTAGTTCCCGTGCGATCACCGAAGTTAAGCAACGTCGAGCCTGTTCAGTACTTAGATGTGTGACAGCTTGGGAATTTCAGGTGCTGTAAGCTTGGATGTGTAGGTGTTATGGCTACCGGCCGCATCACATTGAAACACTCGTTCTCGTACGATCGGAGTTAAGCAACGTCGAGCTTGGTCAGTACCTAGTTGGGTGACCACTTGGAAATATTAGGGTCCGTAAGCTTGGATGTGCGGATGGTATAAGGTATAATGGCTCAAAATTGTTAATCGGAGGGCTGAGTTCCAATTCCAATCGGGTTCGTTATATTCACTTACGCGTAAATAACACTCGGAAAGGTATGAATCCAGCTGTTCTCCCCCCAGCTATGGGCTAAATAGTACGACTTATATTACTAAATCATTATTATCTTCAAAGAAAATTCTTACAATCTAAAGAAAATATTTTCTGGCTTTAAATAACCTGCAAAGGGTTGATAAACCGTAGAAAACGAATCAATCGACAAAGTAATAAAGACAAGCGACAGTTGGAACTTAAGGCATCTCACATTAATGACGCTAGGTGTTGGGTCTGTGTGTCATGTACTAAAGGTGTCTTTGCCCAGGTCTACGTCGCAAACAACTGTCACTTGCATAAAGACAGAAACTACCTTCATCGTCGAACACGACATAACCTCATTCTGTTCGCTCTCACACTGGTGAGGTGCTCGACAGTACTGTATAGTAAGTGAAAGTATTATTGGGGTTACGCGTACCCGAAGTTCTACTACAAGTAAACGATTCCGGATTGACATACCTGAGACCAGCCTTGTTTTGTGCTATGGATGGAGTACCTCCAAGGCCAAGCTAGTAACATTCCACCCTCATCGAGCAGACACTGATTTTTCTCTACTCATGAAGAACTGCTGTACTCTCAACGAGTATCGCTGCCATATCTGGTGTTGAGCTGCCCAATCCCCGCTTTCCATCTTGGACAGAGTTCAAAAGCAGCCGTATGGGTGATGAATTTTCCCCTACCCTGCAATCCTTTTTCCATGGACTAGCTACATTCTTTATTTCACCCAGTTCAGACCTTTACAGCTAAGACCCGCCATGCCACGTACACAGGGTTGAAGCATCCTCATTTCCTCCATATTCCATTAGTAAAAAGAAAATTCAATTCAGACAGCCTCTTCCTAAGAACTACTACTATATGGAATAGATTCCTGAGAGGATGTTTTCCCGATCACTATTATCCTCATGCCTACGACCAATGGCTATCTATCTTACATATCCTCATAATTTACACTTATTACCTCCTCTTACATTTATACAACAAACTGATTCAGTAAGTTTTGTGTTGGTGAGACGGAAAAGTTCTAGGAAGAGGAAAAAGTCAAACAATTATGTCCTGGCCCCAAAATGAAGAGGTATTGAGCAAAATTTCATAGGAAAATTAGCTCAGGGGGAGGTGGTGTAATGGAATGTCCCACACTCCCTATCGCCTATGTGGACTCTCTATATCAGTAACTACATATAGTGAGCATAGGATATACATTCGAATTCTCTGCCTTCGGGCAGAGAGGAACCCAGACGAGGCCATGCTGAAGGGCAGAGTCTCATCTGGGGAGGTAGACAGCTACCCAACTCCGTTTCTTACCGTGTCTACGGGGAATGTTTGCCCGAGCCTACGGGCTCGGTTTTACCCCGCATTAAAAAAGGCCTTGTGTTCCATCCTGCCCTGCGGAGTGGTGAGGTAAATAACCTTGCTTCGGCAATTAGTTGGAGATTCGTCTCCAGCTAAGCTAGTCGAATTTTCTGCCTTCGGACAGAGAGGAACCCAAATGAGGCTATGCTCAAGAGCAAAGTGTTTACGGGGTCTACGGGTAATGTTTGCCCGAGCCCACGGGCTCAGTTTTAACCCTGCATTAAAAACGGCCTTGTGCCATATCCTGCCTCGCGAGGAGGTGAGGTAAATAACCTTGCTTCGGCAATTAGTTGAAGATTCGTCTTCAGCTGTGCCGGTTGAACTCTCTGCCTTCGGACAGAGAGGAACCCAGACGAAGCTATGTCGAAGGGCAGACTCTCGTCTCGGGAAACAGATATCCGAGCCCGTTTTATACGGGGAAGGTTTAGCCGAGCCTACGTGCTCGGATACCCCACTTTAAATTCGGTCTTGTGCCACATCTGACCGCGTAGGGCGGTTGGTAGATATCTTTGCTTCGGGAATTACTAGCCTGCCATCCGATTCCCTGTCTTCCAGTAGTGTATTCTCTTTTACAATAAACCTCTCTTTCTGTCACCTACGCACGTGTTGCCGTTCCTTCACTCGAGTACCATCCTTGTCTGTTTGTAACCTCTTTAAGGATACGACAGTAATCCTCTAGTTTGAGTTGCTCTTGGGACTTGTATGTAGTGAACAAAAAAAAAAGGAAAAAACAAAACAAAAAAGCAGCTATTTGCATGAAACGTCCAAAATTTTGAAGTTTCACAGTAATAGCAAATTTGTGAGTTTGAAACTTTAACCCTTAGAGCTCTGCGTTTCTTAACAATTTTAACCTTTCTGCCTGAGCTCCTGAGTCAAAATTTGCAAATAATTGGTATGTAATGTTTCACGGTAGATATAAAAATAGTTACAAGTGTTTATCCACCGTTCAACCGGTGGCTGGGCATTAAGTCATTTTTCCCTACCACCGGTAAAGCGGTGGTCAGGGCTCAAAGGGTTAAAATATTACTATTACCATTTCATTCTTATTATATATTCATTGTATTGGGTGAACTTTTAGCCTATTAAGCCTCTGAGCACTAATTTCTTGAACAATTTTAACCTTTCTGCCTGAGCTCCTGAGTCAAAATTCGCAAATGATTGGCATGTAATGTTTCACTGTAGGTAAAATAATACTTACCCACCGTTGAACCGGTAGCTAGGCATTAAGTCACTTTTCTCTACCACCGTCTAACCGGTGGCTGGGTACTACGTCATTTTACTCTACCACTGGTAAAGCGGTGGTCAAGGTTTCAAAGGGTTAAAATACATGGGATGGCTGAATTTATGAATAAAGAGAAACATCTAATAAAATCAGAGCTTGCAAAAAACAACTCTGTAAATTAAAAAAAAGAAAAAAGAAAAAGAATGATCGACATGTACATCTTAACTGTAAAAAAGATCATTCAGGATTCTGGACGACTCCGATTCCGTGTCTGATAAGAGCATTTTTTGAGCACAGATAAAACCAAGGACTTCGAATGTTGATTTTCAAGGCAACTTCTTTATTCCTGTAGACTCCTTGCGGGGCATAGGCCTGCAACATAACCTATTGATATTGCTCCGCTTTAAGTAGCAAGTGATCTGTGTTCTGTATCAAAAAGGAATTTCTGAAAAATCAATTGTTGTCAATCTATGACATCTTTAGGCGTTGCGGCAGCGAGGAAGCGTCGATAAAGAACAAAATGTCGGGTCCTAAATCAAGGGTCAAAAGCTGTGAGAACGATCACTGAATTGCCTTTAAAAGACGCCCACAAGAAAAATGGAATTATATGGGTAACGGAATGCATAAAGACCTATTATTAGAACGGTACTTTTCACCAACGAATGACGTGTTACTTTCGGTGAGCCAAATTGATGGAATAAAGATTGGGTTGCTAATGTTGGTAGTGAAATTAATATTTTGAGGTGACATGCTGGACTCATGGTAAGTTACAGATAGTGTTAAGATGACACCTTAGACAAGCGTTGATTATATTGGAGGTACGTATAGTAATAGAGGATAGAGTAGAAATAGCGATCCATATAGTAATAGAGGATAGAATAGAAATAGCGATCAATTAAACACACGCTACCTCCCATATATGCGTTTCCTCTATGGCCACGTGGTCTACTTAATTCAATAATGGAATCGCCTGTGTTTGCTCACTGGCGATCTATGTTCAAACTCAAGTGTCGGCAGCGACACTTTATTCTTATATAACATATAAGTTTTGTTTTTATAGTTACATTGTTTTCATTTTGTTATATATTTGTCATACTTATTTATGGAATTTCAATACTCTGGCTAATACCGAAAAATCCGTTAAAATTCACAATACTGGAAGAGCGACAATTAGTCTACAATAATTTATACATGTGTGAAATAAATTTCAAATTATTTCTGCAAATATTCCCGTAAATGCCTTCATTAATTTTCTAAAAAAAAAAAAAAACTAGGAAAAATTAAAGTGGCTAATAATGGGAGTCACATGACCGAGATATAAATGATCTTGTGTGAATCCTTGCAGTGATGATATATGCCAAAATAACCATTGCAATTTGGTCGTGTGTCATTTGATTCGTATACAGATTCAAGGTCTCGTATTTGAATGCATACATCCAAAAGTTTCCCAACGTGTCACTTTTCCCTTCACTCTTCTTACTTTCTGATTTCATTTTGCATTTGATCTTTTGGAGTTTGCTTTCTTATCCTCGCCCGTCTTTCTTTTCATTAGAAATGTTAAGCTGTATTTTCTTTTTTTTTTTTTTTTTTTTTTTTTAATTTTCGTAATCCCGAATTTTATCTGGCTAATATTCAACCGTCTGGAAATATTCAAATACCGCAAGCACCAAAATAGGTAAATGTAAATAACAAAAATAAATAAATAAAAATAATAAAGAAACCAAAAACGAAACAAAAAACGAAACCAAAAAAACAAAAAACAAAACTAAGTTTCACAGAAACGGGTGGATTAAGAAAGACAGGAGTTAAGAAGAAAAAAAAAGAGCTTAGTGAAAGAAAAAGAAAGACAAAAATAATGCTTTTTCTTTTGTTTCTTTCTTTCTCTCTTTACTTGTTTTCAATCTAATTTTTCTTTCAGAAAAATTCTTTTTTCTTTCTTTCTAGTTTTCTTTTCTCTTTACTAATTTATCGTTTTCTTTCGTTTGTGACCAATATATAATTTCTCTTTCTTCGTTCTTCTTTCTTTCTTTCTTTCTTTCAACTTATCTTTACTCTTTCCTTCTTTCTTTAATTTATCGTTTTCTTTCATTCTACCAGTATATAATTTATCTTTCTTTCTTTCTTTCTTTCTTTCTTTCTTTCTTTCTTTCTTTCTTGCTTTCTTTCTTTCTTGCTTTCTTT